ATATATAAAATATCACAATAAATATCAGTAATTATTTATAACTATTTATACATATATATATATATATATATATATATATATATATAGTAACTACTGTTTACAAATTGGAGGAGAGAGTTATCAATGATAATGTTCTGATTTCGAATGTGCGTTTAGCTCCCTTTAAACATCACTGTGTTTTTTTGTTTTTTTTTAATGTAGTTTTTATCACATAAAATTTGTTGAGGCGCGAGCAAATTTTAATTAATGTGGCCCAGAGAGAAAAAACCTTTGGGAACCACAAGTCTAAACTTAGTCCCAGGCCCTCGCAAACATACGATCAGAAGGCAAATGCCTTCCTGCGATATATTATTCTGCACTGTTTAATCCATGGACGTTTGCTAGGCGAATAGAACGAATCAGGTACCATTCCATCATATACAAAATATCTTCAATGTTATAGCAATTTTGCCAGGCAGGGAAATTGATGAGTATTGTATTGAATATGTAGAGTATGCTGAGTAGCAAAAATTCTCCTGGCACTTCTTAAAGGTTTACTAATCTTTTTGTGTACATATTGCTATTAAAAATTCCCTCCACAAACACCAAAAGTAGCGAGAGTTATAACTTATGACACGCCAATCATTGTGCTAGATTCGCGGATGTTTATATTCGAGTATATGTCGTACCCGAGTTTGCTTTGCACACAGAAACGTCTATTATTTGCATGCGTAACCTGTTTTTATAACTGAACGATAACGTCATTTTATCCACCAGGTGAACCTATGTCACACCATCGGTGACGTGTTTTAGGGTAAGTTGAAATCTGGTTACAGTAATATCTGCTCGTAGTCTTTCTGCAAGTAATGGTAATCATAATATTATGTAAGGAAGCATTCGGTATTCATTGACCGAGCAGCCAGTGCTACATTCGGTTGACATTTATAAAATCTTTCTAGTTTTCAGGAAAATAAATTTCTCAAGTTTAGTAGCTGTTCCCCTTCCCTTATGAAGTATTTTCTTAGTGTGTAGTGTGGAATATCAGCATCTTCATTATGCCATTATTTTCTCTTCGAATTTCATGTGCTACCCATTTTGGCCATTACTTTTGTTGGAAGCCCTCAAGTTTTGCGGTTTCTGTTATTTAATAACGTTCTTTGCGATTCTGTTGCTTCAGTCTAAGACTATCTAACTATCCCAGTCTATTCATATCTATCTATCTATCTATCTATCTATCTATCTATCTATTCATCTATCTATCTATCCCAGTCTATTCATATCTATCTATCTATCTCAGTCTGTTCATATCTATCTATCTATCTATCTATCTATCTATCTATTTATCTATCTATCTATCTAGCTAGCTAGCTAGCTATCTATCTAGCTATCTATCTCAGTCTGTTCATATCTATCTATCCCAGTCTATTCATATCTATCTATCCCAGTCTGTTCATATCTATCTATCCCAGTCTGTTCATATCTATCTATCTATCTATCTATCTATCTATCTATCTATCTATCTATCGCAGTCTGTTCATATCTATCAACAGGGTATGTTGGATAAATAGTTTAAATTAAGGTAAAAATCAAAATAACACTGACATCAGATTTTAACAGATATATTTACCAAAATTACACAAAAATATCTTGAAATAATAAAGAGTAAAATTATTCAATAAAATCGCCATAGGCTTTAACCATGGCCTCTAGACGATTTCGGAATCTTGCCATAAGCCTTACATTCAGTTAAGTTTTGTTGGTCTAACGTTCAACTTCAAAGGGGTGATGTAGTCGCAGCAATTGTATGACAGCCAGCTTGTGAAGAAAAGTGCAGAGTCTTATTACAACGCATAGGGTCTTCAGGCAGCCACACTCGAAAAACTTACTAAAGAAACTTGTCCTCCGTTAAGGTAAGAACGACCACTGCACAGGGGCGCACCAGGTTCTGATTTTGACTGCTATTGCCTATCATGCCACCTAAAATTTTTACCGCTAAGGCCCGTCACATTATGTAAACAGAAGCAAACTACGTTCTGATTTTTACCGCTAAGGCTCGTCACATTATGTAAACAGGAGCAAACCACGTTCTGATTTTTAGCGCAAAGGCTCGTCACATTATGTAAATCGGAGCAAACTACGTTCTGATTTTTACCGCTAAGGTTCGTCACATTATGTAAACAGGAGCAAACCACGTTCTGATTTTTACTGATAAGGCCCGTCATATTATGTAAACAAAAGCAAACCACGTTCTGATTTTTACTGCTAAGGCCCGTCACATTATGTAAACAAGAGCAAACCACGTTCTGAATTTTTACCGCTAAGGCTCGTCACATTATGTAAACAGGAGCAAACCACGTTCTGATTTTTACCGCTAAGGCCCGTCCTATTATGTAAACAAGAGCAAACTACATCCTGATTTTTACCGCTAAGGCCCATCACATTATATAAACAGGAGCAAACCACGTTGTGATTTTTACAGCAAAGGTCAGTCAAAGTATGTAAACAGGAGCAAACCACGTTCTGATTTTTACCGCTAAAACCCGTAACATTATGTAAACAGGAGTAAACCATGTTCTGATTTTTACCGCTAAGGCCCGTCATATTATATAAACAGGAGCAAACCACGTTCTGATTTTTATCGCTAAGGTTCGTCACATTATTTAAGCAGGAGCAAACCACGTTCTGATTTTTACAGCTAAGGCTTGTCACATTATGTAAACAGGGACAAAGCACGTTCTGAGTTTTTCAGCGAATACCCGTCACATTATATAAACAGGAGCAAACCACGTTCTGATTTTTACCGCTAAGGCTCGTCATATTATGTAAACAGGAGCAAACCACGTTCTGATTTTGACCGGTAAGGCTCGTCATATTATGTAAACAGGAGCAAACCACGTTCTGATTTTTACCGCTAAGGCTCGTCACGTGATGTAAACAGGAGCAAACCACGTTCTGATTTTTACCGCTAAAGCTCGTCACATTATGTAAACAGGAGCAAACCACGTTCTGATTTTTACCGCTAAGGCTCGTAACATTATGTAAACAGCAGCAAACCACGTTCTGATTTTTATTGCTAAGGCTCGTAACATTATGTAAACAGGAGCAAACCACGTTCTGATTTTTACAGCAAAGGTCAGTCAAAGTATGTAAACAGGAGCAAACCACTTTCTGATTTTTACCGCTAAGGCCCGTCACATTATTTAAACAGCAGCAAACCACGTTCTGATTTTTACCGCTAAGGCTCGTCACATTATTTAAGCAGGAGCAAACCACATTCTGATTTTTACAGCTAAGGCTTGTCACATTATGTAAACAGGGACAAAGCACGTTCTGATTTTTTCAGCGAATGCCCGTCACATTATATAAACAGGAGCAAACCACGTTCTGATTTTTACAGTTAAGGCTCGTCACATTATCTAAACAGGGGCAAACCAGGTTTTGATTTTTACAACTACAGCATTTCATTTTATCTAAACATGGGCGAACCACCCTCATTCCCTTCATATTCGTTCGGTGATAAGGAAATTCCACTTAGACATCTACTTCACAAAAACTGTTGCTTTATGGGAGGGAAAAACTCTCGAATGGCCTCCATATTAACCACGTTTTCATGTCCAGGATCAATTGTTATCTATCAAGGAAATGATAGATAGATAGATAGATAGATAGATAGATAGATAGATAGATTACTTACATAATATTAAAAATAGGTGTACTCCTTTCACAAAGACAAAGAGTAATTCTGCAAGATGGTTTATTGTTTTGTTTGAAATCATTAGAAATGTTTCGCAAGCCTGCATTTTGGCGCCAGCCGTGTTCTTGATCTATGTAAACGATATCTACAGTCTGAACAAATCCACTATTTGCTTATCACAATAAACTATATTGTTGCATCAAAAACGACTATTCCTTACTTCTAGATGATTTTCAGCTTGGTGTTCATTATAGCATCAAAATTTAACATCGGAAAGGATTTTATGATGAAGATGAGAGGCAATTTGAAGTACACCCTAAATGCAGTTTACCTTAATCATGTGAAAGAACAAAGTGTCTGCGGTATTTTAGTTACGTGATTTATCTCCATGATCACTGAAACTGTAAACAAGACTAATTGTTGAATAGGTATGACTAAAAGTTACTTTATAAATCTTACTCCCTGTTGTGTCGTGCTCCCTCTAATGAGGCTGTTGTGGACTCTTCCACTTACTATAATGTTAGTAGGAAAAGTAGATTTAGGGGGAACGGTGATATAGACTGAACTCTGGTCAACCGACACACCCACTAAAGTCGTGTAAGACACTTGTGTTGTATTTACAATTCAATACCCTATTTATCTGGAACCTCTTGTTTTGTTACTAGTTAACCAATTATTTGGTTATAACACTCCCCAAAAATGCAAAAAAAAAAAACAAGAAAAAAAAACCTTTATACAGTATTTATTCAACTAATACTCAAATATGGTGGCGTTTACATGGATCCCAAACTACAAAAAATATATCGACTTATTGCAATCTGAACAGGGCATATGCTTTAGGCGTAATCAAACTATCTTCCACCCAGTCAAGATGCCAGTTCACTGATCTGTGTTTGGTATACAAAATACTAAATGACTATTATAAAATAGTGAATAATTTCTTCACAAATTGTCCAGATAGCACTCGAAAACATTTGAAAGATCAAACTTCTTTGCCGTTTGGATGATAAATAGGTAAAATTCATTACCTATCAATTTTGTGAATACACAATTTTTTATTATTTTCAAGAAGAAATTGTGAGTTCTACTCAAATATGCTGATGGACTATTAACTAATTCTTGAAGGAATATTGACTAATTTTAATTCTCACGCATGTCTGAGAAAGTCTGAGTTGCGTTTTTCACGTACTCAAGTTATTTCCATATTTGACATAACAAATAAAGAAATTATTCGAGTCATTAATTTAAAAGTAAAAACGGAATTCTTTATTACGACATCTGGGTTTGTATCCGTACGCAAGATAATTTTCTTTGTTTATAAACTGGAAATTAAATAGTTAACACGTACCACTAAATGCTGCTCATGACGATGTGATTCTAATTTGTCAAACCGGATGACCAAACATTCACACATTGCAAAAACCTGATTTTTTTCCCTAGCAGCCTCTACTACATGATCGAGTATAAAGTAAATAAATAGAATTTAAAACAACCATAGGTACACTAGTATAATTGACTACTTGCGTGTAGTACGGTAAACTAAAAGCAGAGTTCTAATCAAAATCGTAACGTTTTCTCTTTACATAAAGAAAAGTAAATTAATTTGAAACTATAAATGAGAAATATTGTTTGGATTTCTGAAATTAAATATTGACATAATTCCATAAATTATAAGGAGCAGTAGCCCAATATTTTTTGTTTTGATATTATATATATAATATATATTATATATATATATCTATATTATATTATTTTTCTCTTTCTTTTCTGCGAAATTCTGATATAAAGACTTTCATTTTTCATTGAAATGAATAATTCATATTCTTGAGGACACCGATCAAATTATACTAATTGAAACAACAACTGGGAAGTTTGTTAGTTGGTTGATTTTATTTATCGGCATATCAAACACCTCTATGGGTTATTTAATACCCAAATCTAAATATTCTATACTTTCAGAGTAACGTAAGTTTCTTAGATATATATTTTGTAGATGATTTGTTGGTAATTTTAACATTTTGGTATTTTTATATATGTTTAATATCATCATTGGGTGCCATGTTGCTGTAAAAATTACTGTTGGTCATTTTATTATAAAAATGTACTGTTGATTTTTGCTTGGTGGTTCACTATTTTCCAATAGCTGGGACCCTAAAGGGTGCTACCACTCCTGGGAAACCACCCAATCAGATGTAGTTTATCGTCATTTCAATATATCGGCCAGAGTAATTCGGTGAATCAAAAGGAAGATGTTATAGTTTAGTGGTCAGCATTTAAATATATGTACAATATTTTTTATATAATTATCTCAATCAGGTCACAATAGAATACATTCCTATTTTTTCTCCCAATGCAAGGCTCAAGAGCCACTCAATATAGAGTGTTACTGGATGAATTGTGTGATATGAATATAAATTTGAGAAGTGTGAATTATGTAGTTAGGCAAATATTGATCGATCACTATCACAGACTGCTCACTCCCATGCTTGTAAAATATCAGTATAAAATATGGATTATTAATACCTTTAGATCTGATTGTCATACTATCATCTTGAGATACATTTCTCTTATTTAAATTTGCTGCCATATATTTGCGTAAAACTCCGAATCGTGCTATCGATGTTAGATATTATGTATATTCACTAATATATACCTAATAGCTCTGCTATATATCATTGAGCACTGATCTTATTATACCTGAGAAATATATATATATATATATATATATATATGTACGTGAAAGTATATGCGTATATGTATATTTTTATTACCCATATATATATATATATATATATATATATATATATATATATATATATATATATATATATATATAAATATGACGTGGACATTTTCAAGGTAAAAAAACGAAAC